TTTTTTTTTTTTTTTTTTTTTAATGCAATTGTATGCATGTCCTACCTTCCTTATAAGAATATTTCAGCCGGGCGTGGTGGTGCACGCCTGTAATCTCAGCGCTCGGGAAACTAAGGCAGGAGGATAGTTGTGAGTTCGAGGCCAGCCTCCACTACAAAGTGAACTCAAGGCCAATCTGAACTGCATAGTGAAAGCCTGTCACAAAAAGACAAAAAAAAAAAAATTCAAAACTCCCTAAAGCCAGACTCATTCTATTTGACTAATGTATTCTCCAGAGTATAGCATCTTAAATACTGTATATGATAAATATATATTTTACTTAATATCAGCTCTAATTTAGAGAAAACAAATGGCTTTAATTTCCAGTCTATTGCCTAATGCTCCACTAGACCTTACCATATTAGTGTTGTTTTAAAGTTCTTTCAGTGAGAAATAAGAAACACAGTTTGTTAAATAATCTTATCTGGGAAAATGCTTGTTCCACTATAACATACATACATTAATTTTATAGTTCTACAATAATTTCACTTTAGTATTCAAAGCTATTTAATGAATAATCAAGGAATAAAATTATTTCTTAGTGAAATATCCCCACAGGAAGCAAGTGCTAGCGAAGCTGCCAGTAATGGTGTCTGTAGGCACAATTTGATCTCTATCTTAGAAATTGTTTCTGTTCCTACTCTGTTGCAAAATCTTTTTTCTTTATAGTTAACAGATTAAGAACACCATAAAGTGCACATACTTGTGTGTATTATATATATATATATGGGGAGGTTTAGGTTGAATTTCATCTTTAACACGTCAACTTGTTCAGCAGTTATGAAACACTGTCCAACATAAAATACCATACATTGTTCTAGGAATTACTCAGAATTAAGTTTAATGCAGCACACCACATCTGAGCTTAATGCTGCTTTAAAGTTGACAGTGTTCTATCCCATGAATTCACAATTTTACATACTACTTTGTGTCATAGAAATTAATAAGGTAGTCACATCCATGGGACACTATATAATGACCTTAGAATGTAAATTCTACCTTTCTTTATGTGCGTTATACTTCAGTAAAGTTTGTAAAATTAATTCTAAGAACACAGTGCCCACAGAACTCACAGTTCACACAGTGTGTAATAAGATACGAACAGAAGCTATACTTTGTAAAATCTCTTTCATGTTTTAACAATATATCTCCTCAATTATCTCAATTTTCATATCCTTCTAATTGGCAGATTCCCCTGAAATTGGGGTAGGGGGTGGCAATACATCTTCCAGGGGTTATACTTGTTTCTCAGTGACTTGGAAATCATTTTGCTGCTCCATGAATTAACAGCTATGTGTTGGCACTGTCACAAAAGATATAACAACTATGGGATAATAGGTCTGCAGTAAGGCAGGGCGCCAAACTAGGGATAGAGGAGTACTGACTCAGTCTGTGAGAAGGGAAACAAAGCAGGGCAGGTTGAGACAGAGGGCTAAGTTTAACAGTAACAGGGGAAGTATCTATGTATAGTACAGTTATTTTCTAGTCAATTTAGGGTGTGTTTATGTCTCACTGGGGCTCAGTCTACCATCAGAACTCTGAGTGGAACCAAAGGCAAGGTTAGCTCTGGCATTTGCCCAGGTTTTCTCCCTAAACTGCCACCCAGCAATCTTCTCATGTACACCTGCCTAGTGTGCAGTACAGCTCCATCAGTACTCAGGGTGAAGTTCTAAAGCTGATCTCTCATAACTCCCCTGAGAACTGTGGATGGCATGTTCTTGGTATAGCAACTAGTACTGCTTCATAATTAATAGTACCTGGCAGTGTGCAACATCCTTTATCTCATCCCCATGCAACCAAAGTCAGAAAGAAGACTTTTGGTGAGTATGTATATGTTTTCTAACGTTAGAAATGTAATCATGTTTTAGAATATTCAGTGATATTTCAGAGTCCCTTACTATATACCATATATGGGATCTGCAGGGTAACTTGCTCAAGTTCATCTTAAGAGAAATAAACCCTGTTAGATTGATCCTAAAGCCTCTACATCCCTGTGGCATTTCCTTGAACAGAAATAGAGATGAGACGCTTACTATAATGGTACTTGCACTGATGTGAACCTTCATTTTATAAATAATTTAGTTGATCACCTTTCAGAAAAGTTTAATATTGTATGAACTTTGTGAAATGCAGCTAAACATTGGAAAGGTGCTTGGTGAACACTTGAATTCTTCTCATTGCATTTGTTTTCAACCCTGTTAGAACTAAATTCCCATTTAACTGTAAATCTGTTTGCACTAAACCACAGTGGGGAACTACGTCCTGAAAAATATAATCTGATTTTAAAAATAAAACAGGCTACAAGTAAGCACTTGTAAAGGCAAACTATATGTGTCCTTGATGACCTGAAGCTTTCAGATAAGCCTCTTTAAAAAGTGAACAGATGGTAAGTAAAGGGACACTTCAGCTCATCTTTCCTAAACGACTGGACCTCCCAGTAGTCAAACAGCTGATGACAGGAAGTCGTTCTGTTTCAAGGTTTTTGTCCAATTAAAAAGCAAAGAAGATCACCATTTTGCACCCCATTGTAGTTTGGGGCTTATTACAAGTGAACAATATAATACAGGACACGTATTTTATAAGATTATTTATAATAGTCACCCAAAGAATCATACACAAGAGAGTGCAGGAAATCTGTCCACACACTAAAGACCAAAGAATCCAGCTGAGGGCCTGGATCCCATGGAAATGGTCCTGCATGAGTTCAGCTGAAGGGGGCTGGGGATTTAGCTCAGCGGCAAAAGCGTCTGCCTGGCAA